TTTTTTTTTCTTTTTTTTAAATAAAGGTTTTGCCTTAGGTTGCATGAGCTTGCCAGATAGAAAGGGATAGAGACAATGAAAGGGAAAATGAGAAGTCACTCCCTGAAGGGAAGGTCACATCTCAGTCCTTTCTCTTCCATTTTCCTCCTGGGATCGTGGGCACTTACATGTACGCTTCCAACATGAATTTCAAGCCACCAGGTCCAGGAGTTAAACCGTAATTGGCCATGTGGAAGTCTAGTGATGCAACTGCTTTGCCATTTACTGACTCCTTGACCCCATTTTTGTTCTAACTTATATCATGTAATCACCTAGGATTTGTGTGTGCGTGTATGTATATAATATATATAAGCTCTTGTGACCAAATAGGCAATTTTAAAATTTAACTTATTATTTTTATTATTATTATCTTTTTAATTATTATCTTTTACAAGCGTGTGTGCTCACCAGAGAGAGAGAGAGAGAGAGAGAGAGAGAGAGAGAGAGAAAGCAACAAGGCAGAGAGAGAGAGAGAGAGAGAAAGCCACCAGGCTCAGGACTCAAACCATGATTAGCCATGTGGGAGTCCAGTCCTTAACCACCCTGCCACCTGCTGGCCCCATCCAAATGGGCAATTCCTTTTTTTTTGGGGGGGGGGACGTTTTTGCTATAGGGTGCATGTGCTCACCAGAAAGACAAAGACACAGAGAGACAGAAAGCAAGAAGTCACACCCTCCCATTCCCCCCGCTGGGATGGCCACAATGCAGTCCCTTCTCCTCCATTCTCCTCTTGAGATCTTGGGCACGTACGCACACTCACCTGGCGTGAGTTTAAGCCACCGGGTCCAGGACTCGAACTGTAGTCAACTACATGGGAGTCCAGCAACGAACCCATTACTCCATCTGCGTGTCCCAAAAGGGGTAATTCTTCAGTCTCTGTAGTTTGCAAGTTCTTTCACAAGGACAGAGAAGTCATTATAAGTAAAGTCTGACTATAGTACAGCTGCAGCACATAATCTGGTGGAGGCAGTGACACCAACAGGCGTGGTGTCAGTCATGCCAGGACAAGAGCCTCATGTTACAGTTGTGTGCCTATTTTTCTTTTAGTAATTAGTTACTTTATTTTTGATTTACATTCTTTTCAGATTTGATCAGAGGAAAAGGGAGAGTGAGAAGGCAGTCTGCCACTTGAACTGTAGTGAGCCATGTGGGAGTCCAGCCCCTCAAGCACCATGCCACCTGCTGGCCCCTGCTGTCTTCCTGTTATTATCTTTTAAGTAGGTTTACTGATGTCAAAGGTTGCATTTCATTTGTATTTGTAATTCCCATAATCGCTAAGTACTGTGTCAGCTAGATGCAGGGGTGAGGGTGTAATGTGTTTGGCCTTGAACCAGTTATTTCATTTAACCCCTTAAACAACCCTAAAAGAAATACATACTGTCTCTTTTACAAGTAAGAAAACTGAGGCTCTTAAATAAGACATCATCTAATAGAGCTCATAAGTGGAGAATTGAAATTTAAACCCTTGTCTTTGTTTACCAGACCTTCTTTCTACTTTCTTTTTTTAAAATAGTTTTTAATGCTACTTTTTATTTATTTATTTATTTATTTATTTAAATTTGACCAGAGAGGTACAGAGTGAGAGAGAGGGAAAGTGAGAAAGCAAGCTGCCAGGTCTGGGACTCGAACCATGGTTGACCATGTGGGAGTCCAGCGCCCTTAACCATCATGCCACCTGCCAGCCCCTCTTTCTCCTTTCTTAATTTGCAACTCTTTAGCTGGATTGAATCATGTACTATCTTACTCCTGAATTCACAGGAGACCATTGGGGTTATGTAGATGTCAATCTGTCTGAAATAAAGCCATTGGTTGTGAAGTCAGGTAAAGCGTGTCAAGTGGTATTTGTAACAGTGGCTGCTTTTTGTTATTTTCCAGACCCCCAGACTTCAAGGGAGATTTTTGATTTTACACTAAAGGCAATTCGTCCCCAGGTAAGATAAATATTACTCTAATTCTGTTATAGTTTGATACTTGTGATTTTTAAATACTAATGGGGATTTCTTTTTTTTCTAAAATAGATTGATCTGAAGAGATATGCTGTACCCTCAGGTAAGGTTCTGCATGTAATGAGGTATAGTCTATTTTAGATTACGAAATTTATGTCTCAGATAAGCTTTTGCGTAGTATATAAGTAAAAGTAAATGAGTCATCTGTCATGTGTCACATACATTTTTAAATTTTTATTTATTTTTTTGAGAAAGATTTTTGCTGTAAGGTGCATGCACATGCCAGAGAGACAGAGAACAAGAAATTGCCCACCCCCCTGTGAGGGAAGATGGCCGTGTCACAATCCCTTCTTTATTCTCCTCTCGGGATCTTGGGCTTGCACGCACATGCTCCTGGTGTGAGTTCTAAGCTGCTGGGTCTGGGACTCAGGCTGCAGTCGACTGTAGGGGAGCCCAGCGATGTAACCATTACATCATCTGCTGCTCCTTGCCACACACATTTATTTACAGAGAGGCTTTTAGGGTCCTCGTTTTAGCACACAAGCTGTGGTTGAGATGGTCACATTCTAGTTATACGAGTTTGCTGCATGCCATAGGGTATGTGTACTTGCCAGAGACAGAGAGGGACAATGAGAAGGAAAGCGAGAAATCTTTCACTCAGGGGATGGCCATGCTGCAGTCCCTTCTCCATTCTCCTGAGATTTTCAGCACACAGGTATACTCACGGGGCACGATTTTCAAACCATTAGATCCAGGACTGAGATCCAGTTGGCCATGTGGGAGTCCAGTGCCTTAACTGCCATGCCACTTGCTGGCCCCCAGGTTACATGATTTAACTTTATTTTCAGACCATCCTTCAGACAATCCAAGCTGATTTTGACTTGGTCTGAATGATCCTGGTCCTGCTTCTGATCCTTGTTTTGGGGTTGTTTGGCCAAATTATGGGCCTGTTGATTCAGGTGGAGGCTGGCAGCCTCGGCTTTGACCGCCACCCGCGGGTGTGACCAGCTCCAGCTCTCCCTGAAGAAGTCCTAGCTGTGTCATTGACCCGAAGCTTCCTAGTTCTCTGTCTGGCCAATGGCCTGTTTTAACTGTGTGGTTTTTCATTTGCAGCTGGCCTGCGCTTGCTCACCCTGCATGCAGCTCAGTTTAGTACCTGCCTTCTGGAAAACTATGTTTCTTTATTTGAAATTCTGTCAAAATGGTGTGGCCATACAAATGTAGACTTGAAAAAAACCGCTCATTCTGCCCTGGAATCCTTTCTAAAACAGGTACTATGTTATTCACCTTTCATTTACAAGTATTTTTTCCACATAATGAATTAAATTCCAGTCTTGTGCACGTATACTTAATAAATACAAGTTGAGTCTTTAGCTTCTCTGGTCTTCAGAGCAAAAGCGTTGCTCTTGATCAGCCATGTGGTGGCAGCCGGCTGAACGGGAACTTGGAGAATGCCATGTTTATAAAGGACTTTGGAGTCAGGACTGCAGCAAGTCTAGGGGAGCAGAGACATGGCTGTGAGGAGGTGGAGGAAGAGTGAGTGAGCGGTCAGGGCTCCTAGCTGGAGAGTGGGCTGCCTGAGTGGTGGGGAGCGAGGGCGGTGGTGTTGAGAGACAGATGCTGTGTGTTGGACCATCTGAAGAACAAGGAGAGCCCTTTAGCCCCGTGGGCTTCCTTTTTTTGTAGACAGGATGTCGTTGCAGAATTCAGGCTATTTTGAATTATTGGTGTAAAGTAGCAGTGATAGTTCTTGCAGCCTTAAGGTTTTCCATCCTATTGGATCTGTTTTCTGGACAGCACATTGGAATCTGTATCCCTGTGTTTATGAGCTTTGTTTTTTTTTTTAGAGAGAGATTTTTGCTATAAGGCGTGTGTGTTCCTAGGGAAACAGAGACAGAAAGCAAAAAATCCCCCCCACCCCCGGGGATGGCTATGCCATAATCTCTCCTCTATTCTCCTCTTGGGACTTTGGGCATGCACACACACATGCCCAGCATGAGTTTTAAGCCACCGGGTCTGGGATTTCAAACTGTGGTCTACGTGGGAGTCTAGTGATGTAACCATTACACCATCTGCTAGTCCCCAGAGCCTTAGTGTTTTAATCTATCTCTATCTTCTACAACAGGATAATTATTTTCAAGTCTTTGCTATTATTTGAAAAAAAAAGGTTGGATTAAAATGATTGAAAAAGATGTTTGCTGCTAGTACAACAGTAAAAAATTAGAAAACATTTCGGGACTAGTTGATGGTATAATGGTTATGTTCCTGGACTCCCATGTAGTCGACTTGTGGTTCAAGTCTTAGACCTGGCACCTTAAATCTTAGGTGTGTGTGGGTGCCCGAAATTCTAAGAGAAGAATGGAGGAGAAGGAATTGCAGTGTGGCCATCCCCTTGCCCCCGCCCGAGGAGGGGGCTGATTTCTTGCTTTCTGTCTGTCTCTGTCTCTGGCGAGTGCATACACCCTGTAGTAAAAATCTCTTTAAAAAAATGAGAAACCATTTAAATAGTTAAAAGTTATTCTGTGCTTGGGACCAGCGGTTGGCATGGTGGTGAAGATGGTGGACACTCCTACATGGCTGACCACGGTTTAAATCCAGGACCTGGTGGCTTGCTTTCTCATTTTCTCTCTCTCTCTCTCTCTCTGGCCAAATTAAAATAAATGAATGAATAAATAAATTAATTAATTAAAAAATTATACTATACTCTAAATGAAAAACTACTTTGCAGTTCAGATGACATTGTTAACTATGTAATAGTTTTTCATTTTAAAAGTATAGTTAGGGAACCAGCAGTTAGCGTAATGGCTATGTCGCCGGACTCCCATGTAGTCGACCGCGGTTCGCGTCCCGGACCCGGTGGCTTAAAACTCATGCCGGGCACGTGTGCGTGCGTGCCCAGGATCCTGAGAGGAGAAGGGATTGTGGCATGACCATCCCCTCTGGGGGGGGGGACTTCTTGGTTTCGTCTCTCTGTCCTTCTCTGTCTATCTGGCGAGCACCCTATGGCAAATAACCTCTCCAAAAAAGAAAAAAAGAATAGTTAGATGTTTGTTTACTTCTTGGGAGATACATTCTTGGTATGATTTATGAAAGGGAATCAGGATGTAGAATGTCTGATATTCCATTCTTCTAGAATAATTGGGAATAAGTTCCTCAAGGAACATGTGCAAAGGCCTGTCTGTGGGAGGACTTAGGGAGCATATTGAAAGGCTCGCTGGGCAAGCGGGCTTACCTACCTTCGGCTCTTTCATTCTTGTCTGGAGCAGAATGTCCATGCTGAAATGAGGGCTGTTCTTTTGAATGCCAGGTTGGTTCTCGAATAGGCTGTTGTACTTTGGTAGAAATTGATCTGTTTGCTTCTAAAGTACCTTTTACCCTTGGTTCACTTAATTTAAGCTTTACAGTTTTTTGGAAAGACCAAAAACCAAGCTTTATAATTTTCCAAAATAATTAGCGATTGCAGTGTAGTTATTTATCCCCTTCCTGGGATTTCGTTTTCTGTATCTCTGTTTTTCTCTGTCTTTCTGGCTAGTGCACGCACCCTGTAGCAAAAATCTCTCTAAAAAAAGTTAGAAACCATTTGACTAGTGAAAAATTACACTGTGCTTATTTTTTTTGAAGCTGAGATGCTTTGTCTTCCCTTATAACTGTTATTTCTAAACTGTTGATGATTTCTGGACCCAATTGACCACAAGGACTGACAGCTCTCAGCTGGTAAGAGGTGGCCTCATGGGCTGCTCTGTTTCATCAGGGAGTTTTTTGCATAGACTGCTTCCTGCATTTCTCTAGCATCTTTTGGTCCTTTCCATTAAGAAAAAATGTCACATACGATATATCTTTATTTAAGAAACTGTTGGGCTGGCCCTGTAGCCTAGTGGTTTAGGGAGGAGGATCCCATGGCTGACCGTGGTTTACATTCCAGCCCTGGCAGTGAGTGCAGGGCCGAATCACAGCAGGACCGGGAAGGGATTGAGATACGATCACACTCCATTAGAGGGTGCTTTCTCCCTCTTTTCCCCCCATCACTGTCTCTTTGGTGAGTACACGTACTCTCTGGCAATTAAAAAAAGAGAAAGACTTGTCTTCGGAACTTGAATTGAAAGATAAGGTCTTTCTGAGTAGAAGCAATTATATGTAACTATCACGATACATTAATACTATCTAGACAATGTAGCTTTTTTATATTTCTCTTGATGCCTTTGTTTTGCTGTGAAGTATTTAACATTTTTTTTTTTTTTGAGAGGTTTTTGCTATAGGGCACATGCACTTACCAGAAAGACAGAGACAGAGAGATAGAAAATGAGAAATCATCCTCCAGGGAGGATGGCCACGCTGCAGTCCCTTCTACATTCTCCTCTTGGGATCTTGGGCATGCATGCACACGCCCCCGGCTTGAATTTAAGCCACTGGGTCCGGGACTCGAACCGCGGTCGGCTACATGGGAGCTCAGTGACATAGCCATTTCGCTAACAGCTGGTCCCAGTATTTGACATTATTTTTTGCATTCTACAGCAGAAGCTTTATTCAGTTCATTCAGAAAACATTGGTAGATAAATTTCAGTTGCAAATTCACAGGTAGAAATATATAAAGTTACATATAACAAAAAATACACATTATATAACTTACAGATACAAACTAATGACAAACTACCACTTCACAAAGGATTGTAAACACTTTGCATGCTTGTCCTTTCTTTTACACAAAGTGTTCTTTTAATGAATGACAAGTAAATGAACAGATACACATTAGGGTGAACTATTTCTAGACTATACAAAAAAAAGTTTTTATTTTTCTATTGTAAATTTAAGTTTATCATTTATAGTCTTCAGCATTGTTACACTTGAATTTTCATAATTCGATAAGTATCCATGAAACAATCTCTATACTAAAATAACACTTCTAGGCATAATGACTGTCCTAAAAGTTTTTTTCTCATACCCACCCTCCACCATCTGCTCTCTGTCAGCCACTCTCTCCCCTTCCAGTTTCTTTTTTTTTTTGAGAGGTTTTCGCTATAGGGCGCGTGCGCTCGCCAGACAGACAGAGACATAGAGACAGAAAGCGAGAAATCACCCCCCAGGGGGGGATGGCCATGCCGCAATCCCTTCTCCTCCATTCTCCTCTTGGGATCTTGGGCACGCACGCACACACGCCCGGCATGAGTTTAAGCCACCAGGTCCAGAACTCAAACCGTGGTCAACTACGTGGGAGTTCAGCGACAGCCATTACGCTAACTGCTGGTCCCACTCCCCTTACATTTTCTAGCATCCATACTTCTCTCTATCATCACATCTTCACATCTCTCAACCTCTGCCATAAAATGCACTCAGTACAAGTTGAGTGGGGATATACAATGTGTGTCTTTCAGTCTGACTTACTTTGTTCAACATTAAGTCTTCTGTATTAATCTATTTTGAGTCAGATGATAGGATCTCATTGGTTCTTTCTTTCTTTTTTTCTTTTTAAAGAGAGATTTTTGTTATAGGGTACATGAGCTTAGCTTGCCTGAGAGACAGAGATAGGCAGACTGCGAGAAGTCACCCTGCTAGGTGGAATGGCCATGCAACAGTCCCTTCTCCTCTGTTCTCCTCTCGGGATCTTGGGCATGCATGCACACGCACCCGGCGCGAGTTTTAAGCCACCGGGTCTGGGACGTGAACCGCGGTCGACTACGTGGGAGTCCAGCGACATAGCCATTACGCTAACTGCTGGTCCCATGTTTCTTATACCTGTGTAATGCTCCATACTATTATATATGTGCCATAGTTTTTCAACCTAGTCATCAATTTTTAGATACTTAGGTTGGTTCCATGTTTTATCAGTTATGAATAATAAACATGGATGTGCAAGTGTCTTTCTGACTGAGTGGTTCCCTATCTTTTGGGTAAATACTAAGGAGTGGAATTGACTGAGTGGTTTCCTATCTTTTGGGTAAATACTAAGGAGTGGAATTTTTGGATCATATGGAAGTTCTATTTGTAGGGTTTTTTTGTTCTGTTTTGTTTTGTTTTTGACAGATTTTTTTTGCCATAGGGATTGTACAGTCACCAGAGACACCGAGACAGAGAGCAATAAATATCCCCCTAGGAGGATGACCACGCCATTCTCTTCTCGGGATTTTGGGTACACATGCGTATGTGCCTTGACATGAGTTTGAAGGCACTGGGTCTGAGACTCAAACTGTAGTTGGCTAGGTAGGAGTCCAGTGCTCTAACCACCATACTACCTCTAACCACCATATTACCATACACCATAATACCTCCAGTATTTTTTTTTAATAATTATTTAAATTGCTTTTTAAAAATATTTATTTATTATTATTATTTTTACATTTCACCTGAGAGAGACAGAGAGAAGGAAAATGAGAAAGCAAGTTACCAGGTCTTGTACTCAGACCATGGTCAGCTATATGGGAATCCTGCACCTTAACCCCTAATTATTCCGTTGTCTGAGGAATCCTTTGCAAATATTTTCTTTTGGGGCCAGCAGGTGGCATTATGGTTAAAAGTCTTGGACTCTCACATGGCCAACTGCAATTCCTGTCTTGGACCTTAACCATCATGCCACCTGCTGGCCTCTACTTGTAGGTTTTCGGGAAACCTCCATATTGTTTCCTACAGAGGTTGAACTGATTTACATTCCCATCAACAGTGTAAGAGTTCCCTTTTCACCACAGCCTCACCAGTACTTGTTCTTTAATTTGTTGTTGTTGTTGTTGCTGTTGAAAATACTTTTTTTTCCATCCAGAATACACTGTATATTGGCTCAATCAAGCACATCAACATACATGTTATCATCAAGTAATTTTCTGTTTCTTGTTTGCTGTATATTTTGCTTTTTCTCCCATCCTTGATTCCGTATCTCTCACTCTCTGCCATCTCCCACCACACTGTCTCTGGTATCTATGGCTGCTTTCTATGCCTTTCCCCTCCCCATTTTATTGATTCACTAAAGATCTTAATTAATCGAAATATTTTGAATAGCAAGTACAGCTGAAATATACATATCTGTGAACACAAGTCTGACTTTAGGCATAAACCTCAGTGAGTAGAATGAACATACTATAAAGTAGCACCTAACTGGGGCTATATATCTTACTGCAGTCATCAAATAGGTATTTTTTTTCTCCTGAAACTTTTTTTTTTAAATTAATTAGTTTACATTTATCCCCTAAGCATTGTCACAGCATATAAAATGTATAAAGTAGCCCCTAACTGGGGCTATATATCTTACTGCAGTCATCAAATAGGTATTTTTTTTCTCCTGAAACTTTTTTTTTTTAATTAATTAGTTTACATTTATCCCCTAAGCATTGTCACAGCATATAAAATGTGGTTTCCTATCCAGAATGCACTGCATAGTAACTTAATCATGCATGTTATCCTCAATCATTTTCCATTTCTAGTTATATACACCTATGTTTGACCCTCTGCCTTTTCCCACCCTCTTTTCACACTATCTCTGGTGTCTATAGTAGTCTCCCATTCTTTTTCCTCCCACATTTTATTGATCACACAATTTCTTAAATAATTTAACTACTTTCAATAGCAAGTTCAGCTGGTAATTTCAAGAAAAGCAGTTTTGAATTGGTAAGGAAATTTGCTTAGAACTTAAAGCCTGGAAACAGGTATTTTGTTCAAGTAGTAGGTACATGAATCTATTGACAGCTCAAGACAAGATAAAAACTCTTAAAACTGTACAAAAAAGCCTAGAAGAAAAAGCAGCAATATTTTAGTCAAAAGTCACAAGATGCTATTTCACCAGTTCTGTCTCATGTACTTAATCGATCTTCTGTTGTGGTTCAATCTTCTCAATTGAATTTTGGGATATAATATTCAACTCCAGACTTGTCCCTATAATTAAGTTGTCCATTTTCTTAGTTTTTGAACTCTTATTTCTGTGCATCTGCATTTAATTTTTCTGACATAGCACTCCCTTAAGAACTTCTTGGAGATCTGGTCTGGTGCTGGTAAATTCTTTCAGGTTTTGT